ACAGAACTGCCCGGTAAACCGTAGGCAGAGAGAGAGAAGGGACAACAAACGAGGGGCTGTGACAAACTGTTTCGTCGGAGTTTCATATATATATATATATATATATATATATATATATATATATATATATATATATATACAGAGTTGCCACGCCGAACGTACGAGACCCCTAAGCTGACCCACGGACGTTCGGGCGTTTGGGTCCCCGTACAAGGTCTGAACTCGAAGGGGTTCGGACCCCGCAAAAAAATATTTTGGTACCTAAAAGTTATTATTTTTTTCTGCTTTTGTTTTTGTGAGTTCGCTGTTATGTAAGCTACCTGTCTCTCAATTTTAAAGTCATTCTCTGAAGCCAAACAATAATGAAAAATCGGCAAAGATGCTGGTGTCAAAACTTGCTTTCCCACTTAGTTATTTGTTTTTTTTCTCTTTTTACTTTTTGTTTTCCCTTTATTTCGGGGCCTGAAAAAATTATTATTTTTTCAAACTTTATTTGTAGGTTCTCTATTATGTAAGGTATAAATGTATAAAATTTCATGGCATTTGACAAAGCCAAAAAAAAATGAAAAATCGCCAAAGATGGCGGTGTCAAAAACTTGCTCGCCCACGCAATAATTTCATTCTCGTTTTATTTTTTCTTATTTTCATTCATATTATTTATTTCTCGTATTTGATTTTTATTTCAAATTTGGTAAGGAATTTGGATGTACTCTTGAGGCAAAAGTTGTTTAGTTTATTCTTGTGCATGCCATATTTGTTTTTCAGAATTTTTGAAAACTTTTTTATTTTATTTTTTATTTGTTTTTTGGTTCCTCGTTCGGCCGAACGTCCGAACGCGTCGAGAGGGGGTCCCAAACGTTCGGGCGTTCGGGTTCGGGTGTTCGGCCCGTCCCGAACGCCGGGAACCCTGTATACACGGTTACCAGCCCGTACGTACGGAGGTGTTCGGCCCGTCCTGGGCAGACCTCCATACGTACGGGCGTTCGGGGTCTCGTACGGGGTCCGAACCCGACGGCGTTCGGCCCCCGCCAAAAATTATTTCGGGGCCTATTTTTTTTATTTTGTTTTCTGAATTGTTTTTTGTGAGTTCTCCATGACGTGAGATACACGCCTATAAATTTTCAAGGCATTTGGCTCAGCCAAAAAAGAATTAAAAATCGCCAAAGATGGCGGTGTCAAAACGTGCTTGCCCACGTTGTTTTTCACTTTTTACTGTTTGTTTTCACTTTAGTTCGGGGTCTAAACAATTTTATTATTTTTTTTAATTTTTTTAGTGTGTTTTGCATTATGTGAAGTACACATATCTAAATTTTCAGGGCACTTAGCTATTTCAAAAAAAAATAAAAAATCGCCAAAG